GTTGACCCAAAAGTAAAAATCCTTAATTTTTATGTCTAGAACTATATATTTTGAAGAATGTTGAATACAGCCATTAACATCCATAATAAGAACAAAAAATACAATGGAAATCAATGGCAGCTTTTTCCGAACATATTATCCAGTTTTTGTGTTCAACCTTGGGCTTGGGGATATGGGCAAAAATCATATCTCTGTATTTTTAGAAGGAATGACGATAGATGATGTATATCCAGTATTTTCCCATGTATGGTTACTTGAGACTTAAAGTCTTTATTAAAAATTTATTAAACATTTTTTGAGCAAAATAAAATTCAAATACGGGTTTCCCCACATGTTTACAAATAAACAGCTGCACAAAAAATAACAGCTGGTCAAAATCTTTGATAAATAAAATACAGTACAGGTTTTTCTCCTGCTTATAACTGTTACACAACATTTCAAATTATAAAAAAAATCTTTGATAAATAAAATACAGTACAGGATTTTTCCCGCTTAACACTAAACACAGCACTACTGTGCTGTTGTGCAAATAACAAATTAAACAGAACCATAGAAAACAGCTACATTGTTCTGCCGGCAGCTAGCTCTCTGCAACTCTCACATGGTCACCCACTGAAACTAAGCAGGGCTGTGCCGATCAGTACTTGAATGGGAGACCACATGGGAAAGCTAGGTTGCTGCTGGAATTGGTGTTAGGTAGGCCAGCAGGGGGCGCTCAACCTGTGGTTTGTGTGGGTACTAATGCCCCAGTATAGTGACCGGGACGCTGTACTGCTCAGTGAGCGCCGTCTTTCGGATAAGACGTTAAACCGAGGTCCCGACTCTCTATGGTCGTTAAAAATCCCAGGATGTCCTTCGAAAAAGAGTAGGGGTTTAACCCCCGCATCCTGGCCAAATCTGCCCATTGGCCTCTGTCCATGGCCTCCTAACCCTCCCCAATATCCATGTCTCCATGTCTCCTCTCCACCAATCAGCTGATGTGTGGTGTAATGTAAAATGGCTGTCGTCGCATCATCCAGGTGGATGCTGCACACTGGTGGTGGATGAGGAGACCCCCCCCCCACCCCCCCCCCCCCCAATTGTCAGAGCAAATAAGGAACACACGTAAATAGTAACACAACAAAAAGTGTTGTATGATAGAAAAGATCCACATTGAATGTAAATATGAAACACACAGTATTACACATTTACATGTATGTATTGTGCAAACCTTGCACATATCGAAGATATCTAAAGATAAGTCTTTCACTGCATGTAAAAAATTGCTGTGACAGCTGCAGGCGCTGTGTGTCGCGCATGCACGCGAGGCAGTGTCAGAGTTGTCCAGGTATTCGATACAACACCTGACTGCATGTTCCTCCTTGTTACGTTAGTGATGGGTCGTTCTTAAATGGTTCGTTCATTTAAACAAATCTTTTGGTTGACTCATGGAGTGAATCATTCATTTACGCATGCGCACATTTGTGCAAGTGGAGTTTGTGTGCTACCTTAGAGTGGTCTGTTTAAAACAGAATGCACACGTGTGGCCTCAAACCATATCGATATGAAAGATATTGGACAATCCCGCATCACGTTGGGGAATCATATCGATATATCCCCAGAACTAGATATACCGCCCAACCCTAGTGCAACCTAAAGTAACCCAAACGGATTTGAAGCAAGACAAGAATGAGTAAATGATGAAACAATTTTCTTTTTTGGGGTGAACTGTCCCTTTAATGCTAGATTTTAAACAGGGCCAAAATGGTGGACAGTGGCTGCTCTCTTTAGTAGTAAAAGTTAACCAGAGTGATGGCCCAGCATGTGTCTTTTAGGTCAAGTTGATTAAAAAGGAAGCCTTGCTGGTCAAGCTTGTTAAGATGCCTGGTGTGACAGCAGTAAAACAGCGTCCCATGTTGACCACCTGCATCCTGATCTCAACGTGCGCCGGTCACCAGCTGTGCTGCTGTTTTGATCAGCCAAAAGGCAGACCAGATGAATCTCTGGGAAGCGATTTGGGGATTCCTGTGTCTTGGGAATGAGTTCCAGGGTTTTTCGGGTGGGTCACAGCGTCTATTTTTGGAAACATTTTCGACCTGCAGATGTTGTTTGTGTGTTTGTTTATGTTTTTCTGTACTCTTGGTTATATTTTCAAAGACAGCGTCCCCTTGACAACCCATCACATGTTGTGATTTGGGTTAGATGTGTGGTCAGGGCTGGAGAAGATGCTCCAGTGCATGTTTGATTAGTAAAGGAAGACACATTCACAGGGAGTGGAGCAGTAATTATGGAATGGATGGTTACTTAAAGACTATTGGTTAAGATTGTGTAACTCAAAACATCAGCCTAGATAGCCTCTCTGTTGGAATTGCAGACTTAAAATTTCGCACGCGAGTCACTTTTCTCATGACAACAAACTAGCCTCAAGCACCAATGTGTTTATTTTATAAGGATTAACAAGTTTTGGTTATTTTTTACACATTTTTAAAATGTATTTACGTTTCATGGACCTATATATCAAGACCAGTGTTATGTAAATCAAGTAAGAATTTTTAATTTTTATAAAAGCCCAGTTTAAACCCGGTAAAACATGCAAAAACAACAATTTCACGCATTTTTAGACATGATCACTTGAAAATAGACTTTAAAAAATGGTATCTTTTTTCTGTGATGGCAGAAACATGCTTTTATTTTTTTATAGCTCAATTCATGTTTATGAAAACAATTATTCAAAGATGATTTCTTGGATTTACTCATTTTTTTTTTACGTTAAGTTGTTGTAAATTGATTCGGGCTGAATTTAAACAAACAAATTAAGTTGAATATTATTAAATTAAATTTGTTTGTTTAAATTCAACACAAATAAATTGTTTGCAACAGTTCTGCATGCAACCCTTTTTTTCAGTGTAGCGCTTTTACAATGCAGATTGTGTCAAAGCAGCTCAACAAAATGAGAAGTTCAAGTAAATTGAAACTGTGTCAGTCCAGTTTTCAGAGTCGAAGTTCAGTTTAGTTCTGCTTTAAGTTTTAACACTTAAGAGCAAATCCATCGACGCGCAGCTCCTAAATGTCCCAAACCAAGCAAGCCAGTGGCGGCAGTGGCGAGGAACAAACTTTACCAATTGTCGAAAGTGAAGTAAGAAAATCTTGAGAGCAACCAGGCTCAGTTGGGCACGGCCATTTTTCCTCTGGACAAACTTCTTTTGCAGAGCTTTCATGTTCTTTTACAGTATTTTTTAAATGTCAAATTTGGAAATACATTTTTTCACTTGAAATTGTGAAAAAAATTGAAAAAAGTGATTCTGTCCAGGATTAATTGATTTGATTTGATCAGTTGTTGTTATTTTTTTCATTTATTCATAAATAATAATCTCTTTAAGCTTTTAGTTGTATTTACAATTCTTTTATGTACTAGAATTATTACAATTAAACCATTTAGAAAACACAGTTTTATAGAACTGGGCAATTAATCGAAAAGTAAATGAAATTGATATTCAGAACCTATAATCGATTTTCTAGGTCAGTTTTTTTCAGTTACTTTCTGTACCGCATGTTGAGTCATGCGACCCCACTTTGTTAAGGCTGATTTATACTTCTGCGTCATAGATACGGGTATGGCCCAGCGCAACCTTCGCACGGCCACATACCCACGCACCTCTCGAAAAATGTATCCACACGTTGCACGTTTGCATTACATTGACGATGATTGAAAGCTGCGCCTGATATGCCTTGAGATGGCATATTTCCCATTACAATAAAATTATTTACATTGAAAATGATATTTTCGACTTTTGAAAACATTGGAAATAACTAATTTTGTTTCCAAAAGTGCAAGTTATTTGTTTTCACTTTTTTATGAAAGAAAAAATTGACTGCTGGTTTAGGAAATGTGTGTTTTAATTTCAGTTGTTCAATGCTGATGTTCAATAAATAACCATAGATAGCAGATAAGTGTGTGTTTCCTTCAGTTATTTTGAAATCAAGTAATGCACCCTTCATTCCGAAATCTCTCACTTGTAATTTGTGAACATATTTACTGTACAAAACCTGTCAGTGAACTATGAGGGCAAAAAATAAATAAATAAACAAATAAAATAATCTTTCATTAATCAAAATCAAGGTAAAATTGTTCAGTTAATCAAGACTTTTATTTTAGGCCAAATCGCCCAGCCCTAATGTTTTATGACCTCAAACAGTTCATGAATATATTTCACTGGAATATGAATACATGAAATATCCTTTTTAGAGACGCACGATAAACGCTTGAAAACAATTTTACTGGGGAGGAAAACAATACAAACATTTGTCTCTGCATTTCTAACAGATTCTTCCTAAACTATAACATTTGCAACCTTAACCGATCACCTGTTATCAAAAGAAAGTGATCTAGTCACTTCAGTGGGAAAGAAATATGAATGTACAAGATGAAAACGCATATAGATGAAAGTCATCAACACGAAATATTTTTAATTCTTCTTAATTCGTCTCATTATCCACAATTATTATTTTCCTCTTCATTATATGCCTCTAATCGCTCCATGAAGCTGTTTTAGTTTTTTGTGTGTATATATAATAATAGCACGTACATTTTCAAAGGGTCGACGAGGATACGCCACAAAATTGATGAGATTAAATTCATCAGTTTGCAGACAGAAAGGGAGGGAGCAGGAGGCAAACAGAGAGAAATTCCTGCAGTCTCTCCCCTGTGGTTTGTTATGTGTGCAATCTGAAGAATGCGTGTGTATGGGCTTCAGCCAAAGCCACAAGCCCAACTCCCCATACAACGCCTGATCCAATAATACCACTTGATTTATTACCTGGATTTGGCTGCTGGTAGCAGGTTGCACAGCACAGGTCTTCAAATATTGTGGGGGCGTTCAACAAGACATTGCTCATACTAAATGGAATCTTTCAGAAGAAATCGGTCCAACGTGTGTGTGTGTGTGTGTGTGTGTGTGTGTGTGTGTGTGGTTGTGTCTGTGTTCAACTCTTAAAATCTCTTTTTGTGTGTTCTCTTGCAGAGTCGAGAGGATTCACAGACAGCATGACACACACATCTATGTCATCTGACGGAGAGATCTTCCATTCTGATGTCACAGGAAGTCCCGCCTCCTGCCAGAGGATGTTCGGATCACTGCACTCGATCTCCACCCCCAGTCCATTGGTCAATGCGGACAGGTACCATCTGTCAGTCAGTAACAATAACAGCCAATGGGGATGCAGAGAAGATGCAGAGTCTTGATTATTGGATTATTGGAAAATTGGATATTAAATTGTTTTCATTTATTCCACTATTAGATTGTGAAATTGTAACTTATAGTTCATCAACTCTTGGCAGCAAATAAATAAATAAATAATATATTCTAATACAGGAATACCCCCCCCCCCCCCAAAAAAAAAAGCTGATTCATGCTAAGGTCCGAATGCGATGTGAGTGCGAGTCGTCGGGGAAGACATTAGGGGGGACAAGCGTGCTTACTGTACGTAGTGTGAGTATGCCCTGAGTAGAAATATCAATTTAAAGCCTATATATATGCATACATTCAGGGCTGGACTGGACTGGGACAAATAAATCGGCCCTGGCATTTTGGGACAGAGCGGAACAAAGATAGTATATAGTCAATCTAATGAACTTAAACAATTAAAAAATGCAACAAATATTTGTTTGGACCCAAACTACAAAACTATATGTAATAAAATAGTATTAGTTTTGCTTAAGTTGCACACTAGTTTGGTCATGTATAAATATCATTATAAATATATATTGTATAAATATTATTGTAACTATAAGCCTACATCATGCTGATGATCAAAAACACAATGTCATGATATCTCATGCGATTGTCTTCTGACCGAGTGCATCTCAAAATACATGACTGACACTCCTCATAGAGCTTGAGAAGCAGACATTCTTTATAATTTGTCAAATAAAGACATGCAGGATATGGAAACAGCATTATAGGAGGAAGTTGCCGCGGGCCTTGGTGCAGACGAAAAGTTTATAAAAAAAGTTTATTTATATGGACAGTAGGGCTGTGCAATTAATCGAAAATCCGATTTCGATTTTTAATGATTATGAACAACCATTAATCGAGATAAACGATTATTCCATCACGTACCGCCCCCTTTCCACTTGTACACGTGTGAAAACTCTTTACCTCTGCAAAGCTCAGTTCCACGTGAAAAGGACTAAAAGCATGTGCTGTAATGTAACTTTTGCAGCACGGGATGCGCATCATACATATTTTTAAAAGCGCAAAAGAGCACATGCTGTTGTGTGTGTGTGTGTGCGCTGCGCTTAGCCTCGGACAGGTAGAGTGTGTGTGTGTGTGTTTGTGCGCCCGCCGCGCTTAGCCTCGGACAGCAGAGCGCACACACACATCTAACGCGATCTTAATGTGAGCGCTTTAATGGTCAAATACATGCACATTTGTGTCAGAGCGCGATGTTTAGTGATTATTCATATTAACCCTCATTTGTGTAATAAACAAACAAGTTTAGAATCAAAAGTCACGAGAAAGAGAAACCATATCAGAGCCGCACTATTCTTAAAGTGAAAGCGTGCGATATTCCTGCTGCTGGAGACTGATTTTATTATTAATCAATAATAAAATCAAAAATACAGTGAAGATGCTTAAAGCATAGTTTAAACATAACAGATTTAATAACTCATTTCTAATAACTGATTTCTTCTATCTTTGCTATGATGACACGATACATGTTTTTCAAGATATTCAGCTTACAGTGACATTTAAAGGCTTAATTAGGGTAAATAGACAAATCATTGTATAACAGTAGTTTCTTCTGCACACAATCAAACATATATATTGCTTAAATAGGCTAATAATATCGAGCTATTAAAATAGGTTTCAAAATATTCAAACCTGCTTTTATTCTAGCTGAAACAAAACAAATAAGGCTTTCTCCAGAAGAAAAAAATATTATAGGAAATACTGTAAAAAAATCCCTCTGTTAAACATCAATTGGGAAATATTTATATATAAAAATAAATTCACAGAAGGACGAATAATTTTGACTTCAACTGATAATCGTTTTGAATAATCGTGATTACAATTATGACCAAAATAATCGTGATTATGATTTTTCCCATAATCGAGCAGCCCTAATGGACAGATAAGTAACTAGATAGTATAGACTGGAATATATTGATCTGTGCTCCGCTGCGCGCTGCAGACACAAAAGGTAAATGCCTGCTCATCGCTTCTGCTCTTCCTCGCGCGTGGGGTGAGAAACAGGCGTGATTCTCGACTATTTTGACAAATACACACCGACGTTGCGCGCTTACACCGAGCCCAAAGAAACATTTTTCTTTCAGAGCGTCGTAGATCACAGCCTCGTCAATTAATTAGGCAGAAAAACAAGACAGTCTGCTAGGTGTTTCATGGGTCGATCAGATCATAAGATGATGATCAGCCTAACCTAAAAAGTACAACGGCCCAGCGGGAAACTGCCCGGTCTGCCAGATGGCTAGTTTGCCTCTGCATACATGCATACATACATAAATGCACACACATGCTTTATTAACATTATGGGCTCTATTTTGACGGTCCATGCGCAGAGCGCAAAACGCAGGGCGCAAACGCTTTCAGGGCGTGTCAGAACACATTTTAGCTAATTTAAGGACGGGAAAATCCGCTTTGCGCTGTGGCGCATGGTCTAAAAGGGTTGAGTTTATTTTCTTAATGAGTTATAGGTGTGTTTTGAGAATAAACCAATTAGAGTCTCATCTCCCATTCCCTTTAAGACCCAGCTGCGTCGCGCCAAGAGCGCATTCGCTATTTACAGGACGCAAAGTAAGTCTAAGTGGAAAAAATGAGCATTTCACAAGCAAACAGTTAACAGTGTTTTAACAGAAAACTGTTAAACAGAGCATCTACTGCGTGAGAATGAGAGATAATGGTACTACTTTCACATTCGCTCTTGGATAGGCAAACCTTTACGCACAGACATCAATTAGTCTATAAATAAATAATTGCGTTTTTTAAGCTCAAATATTCGTTTCAAAACTATTTCTAAATTCAGTTCTAATTTCCAGCAAACGAATAAATAAACAATAATACCGAAGTGTGCTCAAAAACCTGAGTTATATCCTAAAACACATGCTGTGCCCCATGTGGTCTAAAACCTGACAGGTGGGCAAATCTAAGCTTGTTTTTAATAAAACAAATATAAATATGGATATAATAAATAATACTGCTAATAATAATAACATTATACAAAAGCAAATTGTTATGAATGAACTGAAAAAGCCTCCCGAGATGAAGAAGACATAAAAGCAGTGATTTTTCATATTTATGTAGGCTAGAAAGTAATATGTTTTGTAATATTTTAATCCTTTATATTTATATCCTATATCTATTCTTATTATATCCTATATATATATCCTTAATATTTACATTTTTTCATATGTAAAGATATTTGCCTATTGCTCTCTTGTGCGTATTAAGCAGTGTGTAAGCGAGGCGCAACTCTGCGCTGGAGTTTAGACCGGGTTTGTTTTATTCTAATGAAAAATCTATTTTAGTTTCTCAAAATAGCAACGCGCCAGCGGTCCACCTCAGAACGCCTCCCTTTTTAGACCAGAACGCCTATGGACGCACATATGAGCGCAAATGCATTTGCTATTTAAACAGCGTAGGGCAACGCCTCAAAACGACTCTTGCGCCAAGCTAAAACTAGCAAAAGACTATTGCGCTGCGCCTTGCGCCACATTGCGCCGGGTGTATGATAGGGCCCCAAAACTTTATTGTTAAAAAAATACTATTATAAACAGAGACAGACGGACAAACAGATTGAAAGAAAGAACTTTTGGTTCAGTTCAGTTTTCCTTTGTTCTCTTTCCTGTCGTCATTTAGCTCATTATCAGTTCCTCTTGTCTGTCATTCAGCTAATCAGTCTGTCTTTTTAGGTTCCTCTGATCCTTTCATTCTTTGTTTGGTCACATTGCTTTATTGATTACGTTATGGTTTTGTGTTTATGTTTGTATATCATTAATATATTAAAATAGTATGTTTCTATTCCCTTCTCCATGTGCTTCTATAATCTCATCTGTGTACCATCTCCAGTTTCAACCGGAATGTTCTTACTACATTTCCAACAGCCACGTAAATTCCTGCATTTCAGTAACAACAGGGCAGCCTGTGTGGTCTATTGTGTATCTTGTCTATATTTAACAAAGTGTAAACACACTGGCTGGGTGTGTGTTTGTCTATGAGCAGGATATATTGAATAACCCTGTGCTGTTTTCTCTTGTTTGTACAGCCCCACTCCAGCTCATTCCTGGTTAGAGGGTGGATCCAGTACCCCGTTAAGTCACTACACACCTCAACCCTCCCCACCGCTCACCCTCTCAGCCCCGAACTCCCACAGTTCCCCTCGCAGAGCCCCTCGGAGCCTGTCCTCCGCTCTGGATATGGGAAGTCTGGAGAGCAGCCTGCTGGAGGCAGTGGAGGGCCTGGAGGCTCTGGGTCTGGATGTGGCTCAGCCTCCACTTCTGCCCCTGAAGAGACGCGGGACTGACGGATCAGAGAACATGTTGAGTTTCCCGCTCAGCAGGAGCACTGTCAGCACATCCTACGCCAGTCACAACACCTCACCCTCCAGATCCACACCGAGTCCAGGTTAGCTGAGTGTTTGTCTGCAAGCACACACACACACACTGCCGGGTTCACTATGGCAGATAATCTGATATTGTTCTGGTTTGCAGATTTCATGGCCAGTAAACCTGAAAATGTGAAGTTTGTTCAGGATACTTCAAAGTTCTGGTACAAGCCGGATATTTCGAGAGAGCAAGGTAACAATATTACATGCTCAGTACGCTTGGTGTGGCCCATGATGTCATGGTTATTTGATGAAAAATTGTGTCAAAAATGTCATTAGAATGTGTAGTCTTAATGTGCATTTTTAAGCACCCTAGCAACCATTTAAATCTTCCTTGCAGCAATTATATAACAACATTAACATGCCTCAGAACCAGAACACTGCAGAAAAACAGTGCTTGAGCTCTTTTCATTCAGACTGGCAATAGCATCTCTTAAAGTCCATGTGAAATTAAAATTTACAAGGTTATTTTGCTGGAGCATGGTGTTAATTTTTAGAAGAAGAATTAATCCATGCAAAATAATCCACTAATGATTTTTTTTTTTTTTTTTTTTTTGGTAATCTTCAATTAAAGTCTGATATTTTTAACCCCGCACCTGTTACCATTAGTTTGCTTAAAGGGAAATGATGTGCGAAAGGACAGAGCCAGCCCTACTCAATATGACTTACTCATACTCAATCTGAGTATGAATCAGCATACTGAAATAAGTCTCAGCAACTTGTTTCAATCAGATTTTATCTAACCAACTGGATTGTCAGACACTAGTAACCATACAACTGCATGAATAAGTCATATCTAGGGCCAGACTCTGAATCTGCAGACTTTTTTTTTGCTATTTCTGCAGAGAATTTTGTAAAATAATCTGCAAATTTACGCAGAATTTTAGGAGTAACTAAAAAATGAATATATGAAATAATAATAATAAAAAAAAAACATTTTTAACTTTTATTTAATGTTTACAATTGCAAAACCAATTAGATCCGCTTATTTGGTAAAAAATGCAAGTTCCACATAATATATCTACTAAAAGACAGAAAATATTACTTTATAAACTGTATTGTAAATAACTCCTATAAACATTTAAATATTTTAATATAAATAATTTAAAACTGAATAAATATAAATGTACACACATTTACACAAGTAAATATATATACTCAATGATGAGCTTAAAATCTGTGGAAATCTGTGGATTTCTGCACACGCTGATTGCGTGTGGGCCTAGTCATATCTCAGGAGCAGATCATTGTAGAGGCATGAGGGTGAGGCATTTTCTTTACATACATATAAATTTCAAAAGAACAGATTTTATTTAAAATAAAACATATATATTATTATCTTTGCAAATGTTACTTTTAAGTAATTTGATGTGTTCGTTTTCAAGAAAAGGTTTTTTTTTTTTTCAAATACATTTCCAAGAGTCTTCAACTTAGGTCAAGAACAGCATGTTTTTGAAATATGTGCGATGTGTGTATGTGTGTGTGTATATATATATATATATATATATATATATATATATATATATATATGTATGTATGTATGTATATATATATATATATATATATATATATATATATATATATATATATATATATATATACATACATATATACATACGTATATATATATATATATGTATATATGATAGATAGATTGCTTTAAAAAAAGTGTTCTTTTCTTTAAACAACATTATTATTGACAAAAAATGTTTGAATGATTGGTATGGGTCAAATTCCCTAAGTGTTTGTATTTGTCCCAACATTTGGTTGAATTCAATAAAAGTACAAAAAATTACTTCTTTCTCTCTCAGCCACTTTTTTTATTGATGGTTTTTAAGCCAGCCATAGAGCAGTTCAGCTGTCATATTAAGCAATTAAAATTCCTTCTAAATTCCTTTTAGAAAATCAGTTTGGTCAGATGGTTCATTCACGTTATATTAATCAGCTTAAAAATTGTTCTTTTGACTCCATTCCAGTGCTGCATTACATAAAAAATTTTGTAACAAAATCCCAGATCATGTAGAGTTTTTGAAAATTTAATAAAATAATAATACTTTTGTAAAACAAAATATTATTTAGTAAAGTGCTGCTTGTCACTGTATGTTTTGTAAAAGAAATTGTAAATTGTTATCTTAATATGGATCTCAAAGCAGCTTCCATCACCATTGTTGCCAAGTTTGCAGATTTCCAATGGAATTGAACTACTTTTACAATGTAATACATTTCGAACAAAATTTGGCCCACAGCAATATACATAATATGATTGGGCTACAGCAAACAGGTGACTGTTGTTATGCAGACCTGGCAACCCTGTCCAACACATATATTATTTGTGTATTTAAAGTGGCAACCTAATGCATCAGTGCTGTTTATTTTATATTCTCGTAGCTATTTCCGTTCTGAAGGATAAAGAGCCTGGCTCCTTCATCATCAGGGACAGTCACTCATTCAGAGGAGCGTACGGATTGGCCATGAAGGTGGCCACGCCCCCTCCCACTGTTCTACAGACAAGCAGGAAAGGTATGAAAATCCTGCTCATGAATTCCTTAAGGCAACTCAAGCTGAACGATGACTCACTGAATGGGCAAACTGTTGATTTCTTTATGCTGATTGACTGATTCTAAAATGTGCAGTTATTTTTAGATTAACGCACAGCTGATGTAGTTCCAGGCAATACAGTGGCATATCACTATGCCGAATGGTTTCATTAATTTCAAAGCCTACAACTTTCAGAAAAATTTTATCAAAACAAAATAATATTACAATGTTACTACACACAGGAGTAGATTGAGGACATAAAACTGACAAATGTCATAAAAAACAGAATCTAAATAACATCTTTAGGTGTGATGATCATTGTATAACAGCATAATGAACAGCAGGCTGTTGAATTATTGGAAAGTAATGTAAAGTGGTCACACTAGGACCATTGTCAAAAATCCTTGCATATAACTTGCCCATAAACTGTTTGAAATTTATGAAATTAAACAAATACCTGGTGTAAAAAAAAAAAAAAAATAATAATAATAATAATATATATATATATATATATATATATATATATATATATATATATACATACATACATATATACATATATACACACATATATATATATATATATATATATATATATATATATATATATATATATATATATATATGTGTGTGTGTGTGTGTGTGTGTGTGTGTGTGTATGTATATATGTATGTATATATATATATATATATATATATATATATATATATACATACATACATATATATATATATATATATATATATATATATATATATATATTAAACCAGAAAAAGTACTTTAATATATATATATATATATATATATATATATATATATATATATATATATATATATATATATATATATATTAAAGTACTTTTTCTGGTTTAAGCATTGTGTGTGAGTATAAAACAGGTAAATAGGAATTTTCCATTACATCTAAGGCCCATGTTTTATATTTGAATGTTTGTAATCAGAGCACTGTAAATATATGTTAAAGGGCCACGAAACTCCCCTGTTTCAGCAGGGTGTTTTCACACTTCTAGTTTGAAAAAAGTCAGGAAAGTGGGCGTATCCAGCTCTGTTTAGTGGGGATTGTCGGAGGAGGGAAAGAGCATAACATTTGCATAAAAATGGGAGTTTTGGTTTGGGCACATGCTGATCAGTGACTGTTTACATGGACATCAGTAATCTCATTATTTGACAAATTATTAAATGGTGGACTTTAATTGCAGTTTGGTACTTTCATTCAGGAATTTCATTCATGCCCCTCGTGACATGAGGTATGTGATTCGAGGAACTGCTGTAAGCGTGTATTTTTAATGCAATGTTTGATACTGCATGGCAAATGAGAGGAAAAAACCCTCTGCATTTCTCTGTAACTTAGATGCACTAGGTAGGTAGCGTTAGAAAGCCGTGTCTGTTATTCCTGTCACAAAATGCAGTGAAAATCCCACACGATGGTAATAGTTTGATTGCGATGTTTACATGTTTACACTCGGAGAGCAGCATTTACAGCGGATCTTTCAATCTATAATATTGTAGTGATATTAACGTACGGTAAACTTTAGTAACTTAGAAATAATTTTGACTAAGGTCTGTCTTTAAACACTGAAAGAGTACTGCTGATGATACGAACTAGCTTTGCCTAATAAATAAATGAATAAACAAACAAAGACCACTGATCGCTTACTTAACAAATCTGTAGAACGGACAATCAACACCAACTGGAGCTGCGTCTTTTTTAAAAGGAGACAAGCAGCAAATCAGAATTTCACCATTTCCAGATACGAAAAGTTCTCGGGTCCTTAGACACGATGTTTTGTCGCGTGTCACATGCATTGATCCACATGTTAGTCCAGCTGCGCTCTCATAGCGGGAAAATAAAAACGAAAACCTTCGTTGCAGCAAACTACAAAGGCAACAGTGACGACCCGTGTCTCCAAACAATTCTTCTTCTCTCACTTGTTTTGGCAACACAACATGGCGTCTCTCTGCCGTCTGAACATTGTACAGGTAAAAACAGAAGATATGCATGCATATTAATGAAGTTGCACCTCATACACAATTAGAGCGCACTGATTGGTTTGAGCCAAGTCTTTCTCATGAATGAATGCAGCACACTCAGAGACGTCATGAAGTACTCTCAGGTACAGACAGCTAGTCTACACGCTGGAAAACACAAAAGGATCTAATCAGCATGACGCAGCTTCAAAAATTTGTTTCAAACTGGATGAACGAATTAGCTTGAAATAACACAAAAACAACCTATTTTCAGTTTTTCGTGGAATATATGTGTCCTAATAGTGTTTATAGCAGCGTGAGACACATTTATATGACTGTCAACAGCTCAAAATATTTGTTTAGGTGTTTCGTGAACCTTTAATACCAGGTAGGAAAACGGCCTGTATGTACTATACAGAGCAACCATGGGGAAATATTTAACGGACATTAGGACCTTGGAAAGCAGGACATCCCAACACTATTGTGTGAGGAACAGCTGAATGAGTGTGAGCACAGCTGGAGCGTTCATATCCAGAGCCCCTCCGTAAACACGGCATGGCTCTTAATCAGAGGAAGGAAGGGAGGCACACACAAACACAAATGCAACACACACACACACAAAGATGCAACACACACGGTCCGTCCCCATCCGATTCACAGCTCTTCATAGGATTTCACAGGTTATGCTGTTACTTTATCAGTTTTTTCTGTGTCACGGGGAGTTCATTTTTTCATTATCTCTAGAGATAAGAGCTCATTGTACTTCATAAACACTTATATTGTTATTGGTCTATTGTTAACATCAAATATGCCTGTTTGGCGTTCAGAAACCTGGCCTGCTTTGCCAGGATGAGGGTTTAAAAAGGAAGTAGGATGCTTACTATTGTTCCTAAACACCAGAAGACCTGATGATTAGGGTAAAATGTAGGAAGTCTTTCTAAAACATATTCATGATTAAAAAACAAGACAAGACCTCTGGTTATTTCTAAACTATTATTAACAGATGGTAGGGCAGAGAAACATATTTAGAGTTCCATTAAAAACAGAGAACAGTTTCTCTTTTTTAATAAATATTTTAACAATCTAGATATAAATTCCACTGCATAGTACGGAACCCCGGAAGGAACGAAGTGGAGGAGAAAAAAATTGGCTGGGTGAAGAAAAAAATAATGGGTGAAAGAAAAAAAAAATGGGTGGGAGGAAAATATATATTTCTAAGTTTTTGCGTTCCCTCGCAAAGATGTTTTGCGTTCCCTCGCAAAGATGTTTTGCATTTCTCGCAAAACTGTTTCTCCACAAACACTTCCTGTTCACTTCACTCATGTAAACCCTCCCGTTTTTGCCGAAATTCTCCCATATTTTACCATTCTATCCCACTTTCTTTACATTAAATTTGTGCGTCGATCGTCGCCTTTCACTTTGCAACCTCTGAACCAGGGAATGCACGTATAAGCGCTGACTGACAGACGCGCTCCGTACAATAAACTGATCCCAGATCAGCGTCTGTACGCGCCATTTAAAAGGACACTTCTGTTATCAAACAAGTGAGCGGCAATGAATCTCATGTTTTGTTTAGTTTGATAACAGAGGTGTCTCTGTAAGAATGCACAGATCTATAATGAAAGCAGTCCATTACTTTAGAAACTGTTTGTGCTCATTTAAGAGAAAATAAGCTGTTTACAATAAAACATGCAGGACGGAGATGTTTACATATTATTCAGTGTATTTGTCAGTTTAAACATACACCCGCTCCTCTGTGCTCCTCTGTAAATGGCGTGTACAGACGCTGATCTGGGATCAGTTTATTGTACGTAGCGCGTCTGTCAGTCAGCGCTTATACGTGCATTCACTGGTTCAGAGGTAGCATATAAAAGGCGACGATCGACGCACAGTAATTTAAAGAAAGGGATAGAATGGTAAAATACGGGAGAATTTCGGCAAAAACAGGAGGGTTTACGTGAGTGCAGTGAACAGGAAGTGTTTGTGGAGAAACAGTTTTGCGAGAGAACGCAAAACATCTTTGCGAGATAACGCAAAACATCTTTGCGAGGAAACGCAAAACATCTTTGCGAGATAACGCAAAACATCTTTGCAAGGGAACGCAAAACATCTTTGCGAGGGAACGCAAAACATCTTTGTGAGATAACGCAAAACATCTTTGCGAGATAACGCAAAACATCTTTGCGAGATAACGCAAAACATCTTTGTGAGATAACGCAAAACATCTTTGCGAGATAACGCAAAACATCTTTGCGAGATAACGCAAAACATCTTTGCGAGTTAACGCAAAACATCTTTGCGAGTTAACGCAAAACTTTGCGAGAGAACGCAAAACATCTTTGCGAGGGAACGCAAAACATCTCTGCGAGGGAACACAAAACTTTGCGAGAGAACGCAAAAACTTAGAAATATATATTTTCCTCCCACCCATTTTTTTCTTTCACCCATTATTTTTTTTTCACCCAGCCAATTTTTTTCTCCTCCACTACGTCCCTTCCGGGGTTCCATAGCATAGCTACTAGAGAGGATGCAAAATGATTTTAACTTAACATAAGCAGGGTTTTAGGAAAAAAATTGTCATTTAAAAAAAATTCAGAGGAGAAAACAATTTTTAAAACAAATATTAAAAACTACAGTATAGAGCCATGAAGTTATTTTGCTGACTATTGTAGTCTCTAGTTTGTAGAGATTATTTGGAAATCTGAGCACAGTTGAAGAAAACATTAATATATTTTCTAAAACTATAGAAGCAACAAGTAAAAAAGAATAAGTGTTGGAATAGGTTTCATTCAAAGTGGGTGTTTCCAAATTTGGACACCATCTCTTCATTCTATTTATGTGGCAATTGCTTTGATAATTAAAAGTTATTTTTACATACAAAGTCATTTCCTTTGTGTTCGCAGTGGGCGATCTGTCCAATGAGCTCGTGAGGCATTTCCTGATCGAGTGCACACCGAAAGGAGTGCGGTTAAAAGGCTGTCCTAATGAACCCTATTTTGGTAAGTGACTGTTATTGTCTGTATGCATGTTCATGAGGATGAAAGTCAAATCTGCTTTATTTGAATGGTCCACATCGTCCTCTAGTGGCTGTGCTCGTTTTGTTTCCCTTCTGAGAGATTTTGTATTAGTTATTGAAATGAATGGTTTTATTCAGCAAAGATGTAATGAGTTGATTAAAAGTCACTGAAAAGACATTTAGGATGACACTTCTAATCTATTTCTAAACAAAAGCTATTCTCTCGAAATTAGTTTTCAAGATTTTTTTTAATTCGCCTTCACCAACAGTACAGTTTCAACAGTTATTATAATGATAAAATATGTGTTTAGCAAATGCTCGTATTATGATGATTTCTGATGGATCGTGTGATATTAAATACTAAAGTAAAGATCCTGGAAATTCAGCCTTTTCATCACAGAAATACAACTACATTTAAATAAAAAAATACTTAATTCTGTACAATTATGTAGAAATGTAATTTTTTTTTCCTGTATTAATGATCATATACATGGGTGAACATGGGAAACTTCTTTCAAATCCATTAAACGTCTTACTGTATTTAAACTTTTGATCAGTCATTTAAATCTTTTTGAATTGCCAGATTCCAACAACCATGTTTTGCTGTTGTTTGGAAAATATTGTTGACACTTTTAACAGACCTATCGTGTTTCCTGCCTGCACAGGAAGTCTGACAGCATTGGTGTGTCAGCATTCAATCACACCTTTGGCTTTACCCTGCAGACTCATCATCCCAAGCAGAGGTATGTAATGATATCACTGCATGCGTTTGTGTCTGCTTGTGTGTTTCCTGCTTCTAGTTAAAGGCGTGTTGTTTTTGTAATCTCAGATAATATCATAATTGTTGTTTGAACAATATCTACACTGAAATTAATTATGAATTAATTAATTAATTATGAAAATAAGTCTTGAGATAAAAAGCATTCACTGCATGATGAAGAATCCAGGTTTACTGACCATAGAATTCAAGTTCTGCAAACAGAAATATCCTTATGTTACTTAAATAGTATTTTATATTCTTAAAGATATGGATATTCTTAAGATATATGAGATATAGTTAATTATGTCATACAATAATTATATTTTCCTATATATTTTACACAACGATTCAGTTATCAAGAGGTTAATATCGTCTATTTTGTCAGTTTGCCATTGAAAATAGTTTCAAACAAGGTCAAAGCAGAACATTTGTGTATTTATTTATTACCAAAACGGCAGATTTGTTTTTGAACAAATAGTTTAAGAAAATGATTTGGTGATTCATTCATAAAAACAGCCACTTGCTTTTTCAATGAAATTGTTTGTTTTTAATGAATCATGAAAATTATAGATTCACCGAATCACTTATTAAAGGATGAATTCACCCAAAATGAAAACTCTGTTATTAATTTCTCACCCTCATGACTTTATAACCCCTTGAGACCTTTGTTTATGTTCAGATCACAAATTAAAATATTTTAGATGAAATCAGGGAGCTCTCTCGTCCTCCATCATCATCATCATCATCACTATCATCAGTTCAGAAAAGGAAACAAGAACATTGTCAAATTATTTCATGCTCAAATGTATTCACATGATGATTAAAGAAAACTTTTTGAGGCAAACTAAAACAGTAAAAGCACCTTTGTTTGCTTGCGTATTCTGCATCCCTTCAGGGTGTTCATTTACTACAGACAATATGATGCTTGCGTTTTGCCACCCTGATCCCATGAGGAAATATAACTATTGCACATTTTGTCAGTTTAGTGACTAATTCGTATGAATTAATGCTAATTCAATAGTTCAAAAATTACCTGACTTGATGCAGGAGAGCGGATATAGGCACGCAAAGTTGCATTTTTCTTTGTTTGCTTCACAGAAGTGTTCTCTTCATATGATTACAATTGAACCACTAAAGTCACATGGAATGTTTGGACCATTGCTCAGTGGAGGATGAGGGAACTCTCTGATTTAATCTAAAATATGCTAATTTGTGTACCAAAGATGAACGAAGGCCTTAGGGGTTTGGAATGACATGAGGTTGAGTAATTGATAACAACTTTATATTTGGGGTGAACTAAGTCATTAAGACAGGGGCTTGCTGCCACCTACTGGTGATTTTTGTGTAACATTTAATTATCCATAATGCTGTGTTAACACCAGACGCGGAACGCTCGGATAAATCGCGCTATTCGCGCGTAAATATTCACGTGAACATTGAGGTTACTCACTTCATTCGCGCGTCAAACCCTGCTTCATTCGCGCGTAAAACCCCGCTTCATTCGCGTGTCAAATTCACTTCAGAACAGACGCGGATTCGCGTGATGGGCAGGGCTTCTGTCTGCCCCGTGACTCTAGCTTCATAGCTAAAGGGCTAACATGGATTTTAGGAAGAAAATAACAGTGTTTATGTGCTTTATGGAGGATGATAAACAGCGTCAATACATTTAGAGCCGTGTCTGAGTCCACTACATCCTTTCAGAGGTGCATCCAGCTTTTTAAGCTCATAGACTCTTCCAGAAACTGAACCTGGCTGATGGAGGTTTTCAGCGGTGCTTCTGATTTAGCCCAGCCCAGTTTGATGAACTTCTTGTCGGTGTCTGCTGGGGGATTTCCCCTGGGACACCGACAACAGGCGATATGTCACAATCACGCCCTCACAAGAGCAAGCTCCTGATTGGTTAGCGCGGCGCGAATGTCCGCTGAAGTTCAGATTTTCGAACGCGAGTGATTCGTGCGAAACGCGCATTAAGCTCGTCAAACGCTCAATTCGCGCCACGCCATTCGCGCCATGCGCAATTCTCGTCATTCGCGCTGCGCCATTCGTGCGTATCACACCGCAGGATGTCTATTCGTGCTTTTGACTTAACATGTAAATCACTCGCGCTTGACGCGCGTGCCGCGTCTGGTGTGAACGCAGCATTACAGACCTTAACCAGCCAAGATTTAAGGAAACTCTTATTTTTTTAGTATATCAGTAATACCGAAACAAAGCAAAAAAGTTAAGTGTGCGCTTGTTAAGTGTGACGTCATGCATAAGGGCTTCTGTGTCCAATCGCTCTATCAATTAAAATGGGGAGACTCAACAAATGGTAACTATAAACATTTACACAGTGGTGTAATACTTTGAAAACTCATGATCGCATAATAGATATATCCATGCCTAATATCTGATGGCCAGTAAGTTATGATATAATTGTTATAATAAATGTGTCTGTGATGCAGCAAGTCCAGAGACGCTTGTGTACACCAATATTGTATCTAAAAATCACTTTAATGTGAGATATGACTAAAAAGTGGTCATAAATGAATATTTTCCCAATTCCAAAGAAATGAGAAGCGGTTTGGACCAGGACACAGTACTCTATACGTCACCATTAACAAGGGGATAGATCAAATAGAGACTCAGTGATCCTGTACTAACTGAAGTCTTTCTTTTCAGACCCTCTCGAGGAGTTCAACGAGTCTCCAACACAGACGTCCACAAACTCTGCTGCAGAGCTACTGAAGCAGGGAGCAGGTACCTGAACATCGGTGTTGAACTTTGCTAATGGACAGGAGTGATCCATGTGTTAACGTATCCATGTGTGTGTGTGGTGTCCAGCATGTAACGTGTGGTTCCTGGGCAGTGTGGATCTGGAGTCTCTGACAGGAGTTCAGGGGGTTCAGAAGGCCACCACGGTCACCTTCAATAAGGATCCTCCACCAACATCCACAGTCGTCCACTTTAAAGTGTCTGCACAGGGAATCACCCTCACAGACAACCAGCGGAAGTGAGTCTCTCTTCTTGTAGTTTAGCTTTTATATTTTATATAAAGCACTAACGTATTGTCAAGTATATACAGTTTTTTGTTTGTTTTTATGAAGTATTAACCTATGGTCAGGTATATACAGTTTGTTTGTTTGTTTTTCAGGATTACTTAGTGATATAAAAGAAAGTAGTTTAACCTTTTGTAAACTCTTTAAAATCACTTTTGATCAATGAAGGCTGCATTTACACTGCATGGTTCAAGTGACTCATTTAAAAGTGACCCCTTTTTTTCTCCCGTGTGGCACAGATCGGATATGGCTTATGTACTTGTAAGCAGAAAAAAAATCACATGAATTCTGATTCACTCAAATTAGATTCAGGCTTCGTTCATATGTGGAAATTTATCCGATATGAATCAGATCTGTGTTTTCATGTCTGCAGTTTAAGCAGGTAGATCGGGTTTTTACCTGTCAATGCGAGTCGCTCATCATTAAAAACTAGCGAATGACGTCAGGTCTGACGTCTGTATCGTCAGGAACCGACTTCAGCAGAGTCCCAAACCTTAAATCTCAAACACGAGGACTAAAAAAGCCTTTTTATTGTCATGTAGCACAAGTGTTTACGCATGTTGCCGAGAGCGAGAGCGCAATATCCGCCACGTAACCAATATAAAGTAATATAAAACTATTGCATATATAAATGGGCGAAGCAGTGGCGCAGTAGGTAGTGCTGTCGCCTCACAGCAAGAAGGTCGCTGGTTCGAGCCTCGGCTCAGTTGGTGTTTCGTGTGGAGTTTGCATGTTCTCCCTGCGTTCGCGTAGGTTTCCTCCGGGTGCTCTGGTTTCCCCCACAGTCCAAAGACATGCGGTACAGGTGAATTGGGTAGGCTAAATTGTCCGTAGTGTTTGAGTGTGTGTGAATGTGTGTGTGGATGTTTCCCAGAGATGGGTTGCGGCTGGAAGGGCATCCGCTGCGTAAAAACTTGCTGGATAAGTTGGCGGTTCATTCCGCTGTGGCGACCTCGGATTATTAAGGGGACTAAGCCGACAAGAAAATGAATGAATGAATGAATGCATATATACATCATGCCATGGACATTACATTAAGATGCCTACTGGTTTAAAAGGGGCTAGATTAAAAAAAGATGGGCAAATGAGAACTTTTCTGTCATAAAATATAGTAAAATAACTTGTACTTAGAATTTAAATAAAACCTTGCGAATAGATTGAAAGGAGTGTTCTTTTATTATCAGCTGTCAGTCAGCGGCTGCTCTTTTTTTTCCTGCTCAATGCACCTTTGCCGTGTGCCCTGTAAATCAGATACAAGTCACTTTTAAAAGATGATGTAAGCCGGTCGTCAAACAAATCTGATACAGTCACAAAATCCCAATTGACCACCAAGATCTGCAGTGTAAATGCAGCCTAAATGGTTACTTGTCAAATTACAATAATAATAAATGATAAAAAAAATGTAATCTGTTTATATTTCTATTCATATATGTATTTATTTATTTATTTTATTTTTTTACAATGCATTGTTTCCAGATTGTTCTTTAGGAGACACTATGCAGTCTCTACAGTGATATTCTGTGCCCTGGACCCTCAAGACAGGAAGTACGTAACACACACACGCACACACAAATAAATACAGATACCATTGTCTAGACTCTTTTTATTCGCTACAGTTATATAAATTAAAACAAAAAACTTTTGTAAAAAAGGAAAAGAAACGATAATAATAAAATAAAAACAATTGCAGTTTTAACTCTTTACACAGTTTAAATAAAATAATAGTTAAAAAAAAAAAGGAAATTTCCTCATTATTTACTCACACTTGACTGAGTGACACAAAACAAGATATTTTGAAGAATGTTGTGGAAAAAACATGGACATCCATAGTAGGAACAAAAAATACTAAGGGAGTCCATGGCTGTTTTTCCCAACATTCCTCAAAACATCTTGTATATCAAAAGAAAAAAAAAGTAGAGGATGAATAAACAATGTCAGAATTTTCATTTTTTGTCTGAACTGTACTTTTAATTATTTTGTGTGTGTTTATGGGATGTTCTGACTTCCTGACCATTTTTATCCCTAGATGGAAGCGAGACGGCTGCACTGCTGCAAAGTAAGCCTTCCTCCATCACCTTCTGAATAAACATGCACCCTTTGCACATATGTACATTTATTTATGATTTTACGTGTGTGTGTGTGTGTGTGTGTGTGTGTGTGTGTGTGTGTGTGTGTGTGTGTGTGTGTGTGTGTGTGTGTGTGTGTGTGTGTGTAACAGGATCTTTGGTTTCATCGCGAGGAAAAGTGGAAGCAGCACAGAGAATGTGTGTCACCTGTTTGCCGAACACGACCCCGAACAGCCCGCCAGCGCCATCGTCAACTTTGTCTCCAAAGTTATGATTGGCTCTCAGAAGAACAAGTAAACCAATGATTTCGAAGAGCAAAACGTATTTAAAGTATTCTACATGCTACTACTTTGACATTGTTATGGATGAAGCTTCATTGATTCTCCTTGGAGTTTTTTGGGCAAGATACACAGGGATTGAGATCATGAACAGATTTTGTTGGTGGGTCTTTTTTTATTTAATCTTTTTAACAAGACCCAGAACTTTATTTCACTTTTGACCGTCTGAAAAGGCGTTCAGTTTGAAATTTGAAATGTGGGTTACTGTTGCGTTAACAGGACTCATCCAGTCGGGGGCGCCACATTTCTTTGTGGCTCAATCTGGCACTGACATAAACAGCCCGCTCAAAGCAAAGTGAAGGGACTATGGAGGAATACAGCTCACTGTTATGTTATTTTACCCGCCACAAAGACTTCCTTTGCAGTATTTCAAGGTTCCTTGGTTTCCTTGGAAAGAATAAACTGAGGTTTAGCTACATTAATTTCTGCGTTTTGTCTGGGCACATACATCTACAAAACCAAAGAGCATTTCGCATATCAATTTACGATGTTTTTGATTATAAATATCAAGATGTGTATTCAATATTAAATAATACTTAACGTTTTTATAGCTCAAAACATTCAGTACGTCGTTTATCTGAGTGTTTGTTTGTAAGCGCTGAGCTAACATTTCCAGTCCGTGATAAGTGTTTTCCTTAAAAAGCATATTTGCTTTGACTTTGTTTATATATTTGGAAATATTTATCATATAACTCATATTCTGTGTATACTTATCCCTTACTCGTCTATGCAGAACGAGTGTTAAAACGTCTTACGTGATAAATTACCTAATTTGAGAAGGAAAAACATGTCATTACTCATGTTTTTTTTTTTTTTTTTACCGAGCAAACGTTTCAAAGCTTGATCAAAGAGGATTCTGGGTTAAAAGTTTCACTTGGAATTCATCACATAAGTGCACAAGTGCCATTACTTCTCTTACTTTAGGAAGCAAGAACTGTTTTCATTCCGTATGCTTGTCTCGTCCTGCCTAATTCTTTGGTTTATTTGTAAATTAATGTTTTATGGATTGTATACATGTGCACAATACAATAAAGTAATTGTGTGGTACTAATTTGAGGCCGTATTTGTCATTTACTCACTGAAAGCATGTCTGTCACAAGCTTCTGTCAACATGCTAGCTGGTTCACTGGCACCTTCACTTGTTTTCTTTACTTATTATGGCTTCAGTGTGACAGTTTTAAGACGGCTGTGGTATTAAGTGTTGTTTTATATAGGTGTATGTGAGGGCGGCATGGTGGCTCAGTGGTTAGCACTGTCGCCTCACAGCAAGAAGGTCGCAGGTTCAAGTTTAGGCAGGACTAGTTGGCAGTTTAAAGACATGCACTATAGTTGAATTGAATAAACTAAATTGTCCATAGTGTATGTGTGAATGAGTGTGAATGGGTGTTTTTTCCAATAATGGGTTGCGGCTGGAAGGGTAAAACTTATGCTGAAATAGTTGGAGGTTCATTCCACTGTGGCGAACTCTGAAATAGAGACTAAGCTGAAGGAAAATGCATGAATGAATGTGTATGAATGTTAATATAGCGTTAACTTTGCCTTCAATCGATACTTGATGCTGTACACCTATTCAAAGCTAATTTTAGCACATAGTTTTTTTAAAGTGTGAAGAGTTTCAAAAAACGTTTGTAAAGTTTAAAGAGTATTAGTGATCTGGTTATTATTTATAACAATGTGCTGCAGTTTTGTCATTCTCTGCTTTAAATGTTGAAGCTCGTAAAATTAGCTAGATTCTGATTGGCTGTGAACAAGTTTTATTTTTCATTAGCTGGAATAAAGAAGTTGTGTAAAGAAGTGTTCAGATGGTAGGGTCAGAATTTGGCATCAACAACATGAAAGTATGTAATAACATGTATTAGCCTTGTATTAACAGTTTAGGCTGCTACTGGTGGTGTAATGATGTGATTGATATTTTTTTGGCACACTTGTTTTGAGCATTGAGCATCACATGTATTGTAGCTGACCATGTCAATCCCTTTTATGATCACGGTGTACCCATCTTCTGATGGCTACTTCCAGCAGGTTATCGTGCCATAAAGTGTGAATCATTGAACATGACAATGAGTTCACTGTACTCAAATGGCCTCCACAGTCACCAGATTTTAATCCAATAGAGCACCTTTGGCATGTGGTGGAATGGGAGGTTCGCATCATAGATGTGCAGCCAACAAATCAGCAGCAACTGCGTGATCTTATCATGTCAATATGGACCAAACTCTCTGAGGAATATTTCCAGTACCTTGTTGAATCTATGCCACGAAGGATTAAGGCAGTCCTGAAGGCAAAAGGCGGTCCAACCTGCTAACTAGTAAGGTGTACCTAATAAAGTGGCCGGTGAATGTATGTTGTCATGTCTGCTGGTGGAAGTTCTTGTATGGCATGGTCCATAGTGGATAAAGAAAGCTTGTCACCATGCTGTTTGTGTATTTCCAGAACTGTATGTGTAACTTGCCCTACTTCAAGCAGGATTCAAACTGGTATCTTCAGCGTAGGAGGAGTGCTCACTAACAGACTGCTACAGCCTCTATATTCAGTCTTCTGAGGTCAGAGAAGCGTTTACTTGCAGCTCCACTTGTTACACTAACCACACTAACCCTTACTCGCATCTTGTGATGAGTAACTAGTGTTGAGGCCAGTAGAACGAAGTTTACGTGCACATCTTGTACTAGTTAGTCTTCTCTCCAAACCTCACTCGCACCTGGGTCACGGCACCAGTTTAGCATATCTTGTTCTCCTTGCACTTTTGTAAACCCCCAGGATGAGTAACTAGTGCTGAGGCCAGTAGAATAAAGTTTACTTGCACGTCTAGTACTAGTTAGTCTTCTCGCTAAACCTCACTCGCATCCGGGTCACAGCACCAGTTTAACATGCGTCGCTCTACTTGCACTGAATTCTGTAAACCCCCAGGATGAGTAACTGATGCTGAGGCCAGTAGAATAAAGTTTACTTGCATGTCTCGTGCTAGTTAGTCTTCTCGCTAAACCTCACTCGCATCCGGGTCACGGCACCAGTTTAACATCCCTTGTTCTACTTGCACTGAGTTTCTGTAAATGCCTAGGATGAGTAACTAGTGCTAAGGCCAGTAGAATGAAGTTTACTTGCACATCTCGTACTAGTTAGACTTCTCCCTAAACCTCAGTCGCATCTGGGTCAGGGCACCAGTTTAACATCCCTTGTTCTACTTCCACTGAGTTCTGTAAACCCCTAGGATGAGTAACTGGTGCTGAGGCAAGTAGAATGAAGTTTACTTGCACGTCTTGTACTAGTTAGTCTTCTTGCTAAATCTCACTCGCATCTGGGTCACGGCACCAGTTTAACATCCCTTGCTCTACTTGCACTGAGTTTCTGTAAATGCCTAGGATAAGTAACTAGTGCTAAGGCCAGTAGAATGAAGTTTACTTGCACATCTCATACTAGTTAGTCTTCTCCCTAAACCTCAGTCACATCCGGGTCACGGCACCAGTTGAACATCCCTTGTTCTACTTGCACTTCTGTAAACCCCTAGGATGAGTAACTAGTGCTAAGGCCAGTAGAATGAAGTTTACTTGGACATCTCGTACTAGTTAGTCTTCTCCCTAAACCTCAGTCGCATCTGGGTCAGGGCACCAGTTTAACATCCCTTGTTCTACTTCCACTGAGTTCTGTAAACCCCTAGGATGAGTAACTGGTGCTGAGGCAAGTAGAATGAAGTTTACTTGCACGTCTTGTACTAGTTAGTCTTCTCGCTAAATCTCACTCGCATCCGGGTCACGGCACCAGTTTAACATCCCTTGCTCTACTTGCACTTCTGTAAACCCCTAGGATGAGTAACTAGTGCTAAGGCCAGTAGAATGAAGTTTACTTGCACATCTCGTACTAGTTAGTCTTCTCCCTAAACCTCAGTCACATCCGGGTCACGGCACTAGTTAACACCTCTTGCTCTACTTGCACTTCTGTAAACCTCTAGTAAAAGAATCACCAATCTCAATCCTGGAGGCCCAGTGTTCCTGCAGGGTTTATCTAAAACTTGCCTTAACAAACCTGCCTGGGTGTTTCAAGTATACATAGTAAGACCTTGATTAGCTTGTTCAGGTGTGGTTGATTAGGGTTGGAGCTAAAAACTGCAGGACAACGGCCCGCCAGGAACAAGATTGGTGACCCCTGCTCTAGTATAAATAACTAGTGCTGAGGCCAGTAGAATGAAGTATATTACATCTCGTACTAGTTAGTCTTCCCCCTAAACCTCACTCGCATCCGGGTCACGGCACCAGTTTAACACCTCTTGTTCTACTTGCACTGAGTTTCTGTAAACCCCAAGTATGAGTAACTAGTGTTGAGGCCAGTAGATTGAATTTTACATCTCATACTTATTAGTTTTCCCCCTAAACTTCTCTCTCATCCGGGCCACGGTGCCAATATAACACTTTCATTTCTAAACGAACCACCAAAATGGTATTCAAATAATGTCTCAGGATGTGGGTGCACTAACAAGACAACTGCCCCATGTGTCAGTCACAATTGCATCTCATGAGGTCAGGAAAGTGAAGTGTACACGCACAGCTCCTACTAGCTGATTTCTGGTACACTCGGTCCTCTAAACTTCAGTCTCATCCGGGTCACGGCAACAACATGAGCACTCCAGTTACATTGTTACAAGCACTACTAAGAGAGGGATTTACACCTTGTCTCTGGCATGCTAGACCAGCATGCTGAGAAGGACACTAAATGCCATAGCTCCATGCGTCAATTGCTAATCTCTTGAGGCCAGGGGAGTGAGGTTTGCTTGAGCTGCTTTTATTAGTTGACCTTGGTTACACTCACCCCTCAAAAACTCACTATCATCCAGATCATAGCACTACTATATCTCTTGTGGTTCGATATGCCCTGCTCTTAGCGGATCTTTGGCATGGGAGGAAGACACTAAGGGTGCTTTCACAACTGTGAATCGATTAATTTGTTCTGAATGCGGGATTCAAATTGTTACATTGTTGCTCTTTGTTTTTGGTGCGGTCCGCTTTTACGCTGCAGTTTCTAAACGGACCAAAAGAGCTAAAACAAGTCATGTGTGAGTAACCTCTCCTCACATTGGTCAGAGTTTCACGATTTATTTTGCAGAGTCCCGCTCAGCTGTCATGGGTTCTTATGACAATGAGCAATAAGACAATGGCTGTTTCTCAGTATGCATTCTTCAGCGGTCCTGCATCCTCGTGTTCTCGTGCAACGTCATCATCAGCTGCCTAAGTTCAGTTCCAATACTCAAGACTGCTCAAGACTGCAAGTACGGAGGACGCGTAAACTTCCCGGGTGTGATCTTGATATCGAGGATGCAGACTTGAGCACCGAACTCGCTCTGGAAGTCCCAGAAGTCATTGCGACTGGAGGTGGAAAGCGCAGCATTTAATTTAGATTTATTATTAAAGTTCAGAGATATCACTTATTTACCACAGGAGTTTCCCTAAATGAAACGGTGAAAGTAAACGTTAACATGAATATCTTAATAAAGGAATAAACACATTAAGGGTTGTTGTTTACTGAAATTCGTATTAAAATGTGTTTTATTTATATTGTGCAGAGTATATTTATGTTTTTAGGCAGAGTATATATTTTGAAGAGGGGGTAAACAATAAATCGTTGTATGAGTGCTGTAATGTTAAAATAATTTCCATTTAAAACGCATGAAGGTCACGTAACCATCAGGAAGAACGCGGCATCCCATTTCTCAAAGGACGCATTCTCTGCCCTCGCGGTCTCCTGAGTTCGTTCTTCCGAGGACACCTGGCAAGACCGGTCTCCACAAGAACGCAAGTCCGTTCTCTGCGTTCTTGGAATTGAGAAACAGCCACTATAAGCGATGTGAAGGCCAGGGAGGTGACTTATGTGAAGACCGGAGGGTTTGTTGGTGTTTGACAGGTTGCGCGCAACGTGTCTGAAGAGCAAGGATGCAGTGGAGAGGGGTGAGAAGGGTGCACAATGTTATCGGGGACCGGGAGGGAGACTTCTGGAACTTCCGGTAGACTTGGGATGTCTGGAATGACCTCCAGTTCTGCTCATAATCCTATTACACATCCATAA